CTTGGCGTCTGAGACCTGATTCTTTTATATCCAACTCCTCCGTAATCTATTCTGGATGTCGAACAGTGGGGATCAGTAAAGGGGCTCAATTTCCACAAGCGGTTGCTGTTGGCCAAAAGACTTATATTGTGGTCGGGTTTCAGATAGACGATGTTGATACTACCTCAAGCCGTCACGCACAACCCTTCGAATTAAGGGGGAGCTGAGATATTGAGCATCCATTGTTGATACAGCAGTCTTTAAGTGCTTGAATTGAGGGGGAGCCGAAGCCGAGCTCATATACGGCGTCTACCGTCCATGTTTTCTGAACAAAAAGGGGGAGATGGAGATCGTCGAGTGCTCGACTTTATCACTGTTTGCATTTCTCTTCCTTTATATCTTTTATTTGTGTTCAATGTGTTATTTAGGGGGAGTGATCAATTTATGTTTTTACTCGTGTCATTTGCATATATTGTTTTGTCCAGAAAAGCAAAAAGGGGGAGATTGTTGAATACGTTATTTTTAAATTTTATTTTGTTTTGCTTTTCTGATTTTTTGTTTATCTCTTTATATATATTTATATTAGTTATTTTATTTTTGGTAGAAGATTATTATTATTTGGTTTCCTTTTGTTAATAGGATTTTTACTTGGAAAGGAAGAGATAAGGATGGAATTTATATCTTGGAAATTAAATGGAGCAACAACCATTCTGAGAGCAGAAAAAAATATATAGCGTGGCTACAATGGAGGGCAGAGCAGTTTTTTTTGTTCTTTTAATTAAGGTGCTTCATGGTGTAAAATTAAAAAAGAAGAGAGATAGAAACAGAGACTTTGATTGGCTTGCTTGTGGAGAGATCACATCAAGCAATTTTCTTTTATTTTTGAAAAGCACCTGCGTGGAGTCAAAAGAGGAGAGAAAGCATTCCTTGCTTCTTGGAGCAATAAGCAGCAACAATCTTTCCAAGGAAGCACTGCCTGAATTAACGGATTGAACAAAATTTATCGGCTTGCTTTCTTTCATATCTTGTGTCGAACTCGTGTTTTCTTTTTCGTAGTTCACTAGATGTTTTTGGATTGGATGAAAAAACATTGTATTTGATTTGTTCTAGTGATATTTTGGCATGTGGCCTTAGTCTACAAGTATTTTCACTTGTAGACTAAATTTTTGAATCGTTCGTATTTATTTATTTTCCGCTGCGTATTTTAATTGTTCATCTTTGTCTGAAAATCTGGATATTTACGTACCTAAAATTCTAACAAGTGGCATCAGAGCGGGTCGCTTAATTTAATAAGTGTGATTCTGTCTTGATAGGTACACATGGAGTTCAACGGAACTTCGCTTTTTCGGCCTCCGATTCTCGATGGCTCAAATTACACTATTTGGAAGATGCGTATGACGTCCTACATTAAATCCATTGATGGACGTGCTTGGTTATCTGTACTTACCGGATGGGAGCCACCTACGAAAGAAGTTGAAGGGGTGAAACATGAGAAAAATGAAGCTGAATATAGTACGGGTGAGAGCTCGTCGGCCAACTTCAATTCAAAAGCACTCAATGCAATTTTTGGCACGGTCGATGAGAACATGTTTCGCTTAATTAGCACGTGCACTACTGCCAAAGATGCATGGGACACCTTGCAACGTCATTGTGAGGGTTCAAAGAGTGTTTGTCAAACGAGGCTGCGACTCCTTGCAGCAAAATTCGAGACAATTCGGATGCTCGAAAATGAGAATATCTCGTCATACACGGCCAAGTTGATGAATATTGCGAACGAGTGCTACTCTCTTGGAGAACCGATCTCGAATGAAAAGCTTGTAGCGAAAGTAATGAGATCTCTTCCAAAGCGCTTCAACATGATGATCACGGTGCTTGATGTCTCGAAGGATGTGACAGCCATTATATTTGATGACCTTGTTGGCACTCTCAAGACGTTCGAGATGAATCTTGAGGTACAGGATCTTGAAGAAAAAAGTGCATC